AAAGAAAGAAAGAAAGAAAGAAAGAAAGAAAGAAAGAAAGAAAGAAAGAAAGAAAGAAAGAAAGAAAGAAAAAATAGTACCCCTCAGTCTGTATTTAAACAGTATCAGTTCTTTCTCTGGAGGTGGATAGCATGCTTCATCATTAGTCCTTTGTGATTGTCTTGGATCGTTGTATTGCTGAGAAGAGCTAAGTCATTCACAATTTTTCATCGTACAATGTTGCTGCTACTGTGTACAATGTTATCCTGGTTCTGCTCACTTGACTTTGTATCAGTTCATGTAAGTCTTTCCAGCTTTTTCTGAAATCATCTTGCTCATCATTTCTTATAGCCAATAATATTCCATTACAATTGTATACTACAATCCAGCTACTCCCTGATTGATGGGCATCTCCTCAATTTCTAATTCTTAGCCACCACAAAAAGAGCAACTGTAAATGTTTTTATGCAAATAGGTTCTTTCCTCTCCTTTTAAAATTTTTTTTTGGAATACAGACCTAGCAGTGGTATCCCTGCATTGAAGCGTATGCATAGTTTTGTAGCTTTTTGAGCATAGTTCCAAAATGTTCTCCAAAATAGTTGGATCATTTCACAACTCCACCAACAGTGCATTAGTGTCCTAGTTTTCCCACATCTTTTCCAACACTTATCATTTTCCTTTTTTTGCCATATTAGCCAATCTGATCAGTATGGTGTGATACCTCAGAGTTGTTTAAATGTGCATTTACCTAATCAATAGTGATTTAGAGCATTTTTTCCCAGTGACTATAGATAGCTTTGATTTCTTTCTTTGAAAATTGCCTGTTCATGTCTTTTGATTATTTATTGACTGGGGAATGACTTGTGAGAACAAACATTTATTAAGTACCTGTTATGTGCCTGGTATTATGCTAAGTACTTAACAAATATTATCTTATTTATCAGAACATTGGACCTGGAGTTAGGAACCTGAGTTCAAATACTGCCTTAGGTTCTTACTAGGCATACATCCTTGGGCATGCTACTTAACCCCAATAGAACTCAGTCTCCTTATATGTAAAATGAGAGGTTACACTAGATGGCTTCTGACATTGTTCTTAACTCTAAATCTGTGATGCTATTATTATAAAATGATGGACTTTTGTTTTAGGGCCTTTGATGGAAGGCCATTAAAAGCACTGTGAAATTTCTCAAATGCAGTTCAGCCTGTGCTATTCTTCCTGTTTAAATCATTGTGCATCTATTGTATTAATCCAAAGCATATGTAGTGATGGACCAGCTCAATGGGTCATCCATTTAACTGTATGTCATGATTTAGACAATAGGGTATTTGTTAACCACTTTTTCTTTTTGTGTGTGTATAGATATGTGGGTCATGCTTTTGAATAAGTGTGCGTGTCATTCAGGGGAGTTTGCAATATGCCCAGATATATTAGAACTGGTAGACCGATCACTTCTTGAAAGAAACCAAAAACAAGAAAACGAGAAATTCAATAGTTGAAATCGAGAGCTTTTAAGTAAAAAAAAAAATAATGCTATGTGAAGAAATAATTCAAATACCAAGAAATCATTGTCAGGCTTACGTAACACTCTACGGTGTTTCCTACAAAGGAGGCAAAACTTTAAAGCACAATGTTTACAATGCAAAAGACAAAGATTTAGAGGCAAGCACATCTTGTCTTAATGTTAAAATTTAAACAATGACATAGAAACTGAAATGCAAGCATAGGAAACAATAGAGACCTAGAAACACATGTACATTCAAGAAACTGGAAAGGACTAAATTGTGTTGAACTGCTTGCATTTTGATAGGGTGAGGTGAGAGCCCTTCAGAATTCTATTATCCTCAAAGATTACAAATGGAGTTATGAAAGGCATTCACGAAGTGATTTTAATCATTGTGATGATTTTAAGAAAAGAAAGGAAAGGGAGGAAAAAGAAATACACCAGGGAAAAAATAAGGAAAGAGGAGGAGGAACCTACTATTTCTATTAACTGAGGCATGCTAGAAGTTGTCTATACAAATACAGAAAAGGGTGCAGGATAAGTTGACATCTCATGAATCCCCAGTTTTATTTTAACTGGATAAAGGAGGTGGAAACATATACAAAGACAGACAAAGGGTTGGTTTAGAAATACATGGAAGACAGGTGGGGACAAGAAAAGTAGAGAATGAATGAGAGGGTGGATAAAGTTGGGGAGGGAACAGCCATAAAACAAATTTTGACTTTGACAGGCGAATAATAAAATGTGATCAAGATCATTAATCAAAACTGAAGATAATAAGAGATTAATAAGAACCACTGATTCAGCTCTCAACTAGATGTAAAGGGTTGTTGAGTGGGAATCAAATTCTTCAATTTTTCAAGAGTAGGCTTGATCACATGTATTTTTTCTTACCTTTCTTGAGAGGTGGATTAGAAAGCAGAAGTAAAAAATATGTTGATTATACGACATACACTTAAAGGTCAGCATTTACACGGAATTAAAATTAGGAATGGAATTTTTTTTTATGCACCTCTGGTTAATTAAAAAAAGGGTGGAGGTAGTAATATTGATCTAAGTCAAGACAATATCAAAAATAGGCAGTTCAATGTAACAATCAGAGATTTATGCCTAGATAATTAAATGATATTAACACTTAATATATACTTAATGTCAAAACATGTAAATATTGAAAGGTTAATCAAATTCCACAGAAAAATTTATTGAAAAATATAATAGTTGGAGACCTCAGCATGCCACATTCACACCTAAACAAAAAGATAAACATAGAAGTAGTTAGGCACTTGAATTTTTTGATTAATTAATCATGGCAGATTTTTGTCAATTACTGAATTGAAATAGCAAAGAATATGTATGTTTCTTAACCATTTATGGCATCTTGCAAAAAATTGACCATGTAGCCTGTGCTGGGAATCTTTGTCACTACCTATCAAAATCCTATCTATTCCTCAAATGCTATACCTTCTATAACATCCCCTTCACTCTATCCCCTGCCACTTCCACTTCTCCCAGAATTAGAGAATTTCAGAGTTGCAAGAGACCTCAGAGACCAGATAATCTAACCCCTGTCTATAAAAGAAACTCCTCTACAATATCCCTGACAAGGTGTGTGCTCTCGTTCTTTGACACATTACCCCCTCCCATGCATTTTGTCTTTTCTTTTCATATTTATCTCATCTTGTCTTAGATTTTAGTTGAGTATTCATTTTTTTCCTGAACTAGATTTTATGATCCTTTGGGATCAGGGATTCATTGTGGGAAGGAACCTTCTAACCCTCTTATTTTATAGATGAGAAGCTAAGGCCCAGGGAAAAGAAGTGTATTGCCCCAGGTCTCCTAGAGATAAAAAAGCAGAGCTGGCATTAGAGTCTGGCTCCTCTGGACCCAAGCTCAGTGCTCTTCCCAGGGAACATGACTTGAATCTCCCATGGCACCTGGAACACAACAGATACACTAGAAATTTACCCCTTGGTACTCCAATACTCTAAATTATCTGTGATCTCATTGATATTGACATTCCTTTTACCAGTGAAGATCTCAAAACCCATCTTTGCCTCTTAGTGAGACAAGGACTCAGTGTCCCTGGGACAACGAGACTCTCATCCTCATCTCTTCATAGATTCACTGCAGAGAATCCTCCCAATATGTAAGTGGTCATCCTTGGGTTCTCTTGATACTGCATCAATACCAATGGAGCATGGGGGTGGGGCATGCTTCAGGAACCCTCCATCATTACAACATGACCAACATCTTCTTCTGCCATCATGCGACATGTTCATGCCTCATGTCATCTCTGATGACATCTTTATAATCACACAGTTGACTGAACGGTGTAGAAACAAAAAAGATCCTATTATGTTTATAATGTTCAAATACGGCATTTGATTTGGCAAAGCAAAATGCCCTCCAACAATCCTCTCCTCCAATAAGGTATTGCCCATGCAGATGTCAAAATAATACAAAATAACTTGAAAGATATGACTGTACAGGTAACCAACGTTCAATCTTTATTATTAATACCAAGTGAAACATATTACAAAGAGACAGCTGCCATGGAGTAGAGTCACTGCAGAGTCTAAGTTGAAGAAAAAATTCCTACAGATGACGTGGTGTTCCAAGTAGTCCTTTTGTTCTGGAACTACTCAGATCAGATCAAATCTGGGTACTCTGTAGAGCCTGATCACTTAGAGCACACAGTAGGATCTGTGTAATGAATGGATGCATGAATGAAGAAGTGCATGAGTGTTCTACCATGAGTGGGAAGACATTTAGAGCTTTTAAAATGCTGCTTAAATTTGAGAAACTGTAATTTGATTAGCCAGACAAACTGTTTTCCTGTTTCCATGTTTAAAAACCTTCACATAGGTCAGACCGTGTGGACAAAAGTGCTTAGCCTGGGACATAGATTCACAACAGTAAAGAAATGTATATTTTAGGGTTGCTTCCTCTCCCTAATGCAAATTGCATCAGATGTCAGGCAGGACGGTGCCAGATAGGGCCTGGGTAATCTGCCTGTACAGACTGCCTTGCTCCTGACTTCTCAAGTTACACCTCATGCCCGACTTGAAGGGCCATTTATACTAAAGGAATGTTCCTGGTCTATCTTATTTATTTAAACAATCCAGTTAAACCTGAACGACTAGAGGAATTATTTGCAATACAAGAGTTCAACGGTATAGTGCAACTCTACATCATGTTGATAAGATGGAACCTGGAATCCATACAAAGAAAGGTTGTAGAGCTTCGACTTTAAAGAATTGCTCCTTATGCCAATGAGCACTTATATGCTTTCCTTACAACAGTCCTGTAAGGTAAGTAGTGTGCTTAGGATTTTTTCTAATTTACAGATGAGGAAAATGAGGTCTAGTGAGTGTAAAAGGTAGAATACAGCGATAGTCCATATAATAATAATAATAATAATGATAAGCATTTATACCACATTTTTAAGTTTGCAAATTGCTTTACAAATATCTTATTTAAACCTGCAACATTACTGGGAGGTGTTATTATTTCCATTTTACAGATAAGGAAACTGAGGCTAATAAAGGATAAGTGACTTGCTTTGAGTCATACTGTTAGGAAGTGCCTAAGGTTGGATTTGAACTCAGGTCTTTTTGTCTCTGAGCCCAGTGCTCTGTCTACTGTACCTCCTAGGTGCCTATGTGTTCTTTCCGTTATAAGGTGCGGTCTATACTCCTACCTCAGTCTTTAGGCAACCCTTTTAAAAATAGGCCCCTGGAATCAAAAGATTGGTGGCAAGATTTTGTTGGAATGCTTTCAGCCACTGGGGAATAAAATGTAATTACAATAATCCATTACACTTCATCTTGAAGAATGTGGTCATTCAGAGGTGGTTGTACCTATATACAAGGAAAAAGTAGGGACTAAGCTCTCTCACTAGTAACTCATTGATCAAGTGATAAATCACAAAAAGAAATCAAGAAGTTACCAACACATGCTGTTTTGAAACTCTGTTTTCTAAGAGTTTTTGGATGTGCCTTATATAGAACTCTTGATACCTCAACTCGATGTCTTTGATCTCTGGATGTAACCATATTTTGCTACCAGCATATTGAACATGAGTGCATCTTATAAAGAAACAGTGATAATAATGGCTAAATATCTACAGGAAAGCAGAGAAACGCAGGTAGGAATTATATGTTCTTAAACACAAGCCTTGGAAGGGGAACCTGGGTTTGAGTACTACCTTTGCCACATGGGACAATTGGTAAATCATTTAAAATTTGTGAGCCCCAGTTTCCTTCAATTTAATCCGTGTTCTAGATATTTCCTAGGCTCTGGGGATAAAAAGTTGTGACATAGCATTGTGAAGTCACAAGTCAGTCATAAGCATTTATTGAGCACTTTTCATGTGCCAGGTACTGCACTAAGTGCATAGGAGTGCCCATATGCAGTGCCTGTCTTCAAGGAGCTCACATTCCAAGGAAACACATGTGAATAACTATGTACAAATAAAGTATATACAGTGTAAGTGGAATATGATCATTGGGGTAAGGCATTAGAAACTGGAAGGCCTGGGGGAGGCCTTCTACAAAAGGTAGGATATGAGCTAAGATTTCAAGGAAGCCACAGAAATGAAGTGAAGGAAGAGAAAAAAGGATGGGGATAGCCAGTGAAGAATCACATAACTGGGAGACGGAGCATTGCATGTAAGGAATGAGAAGTGGACCAATGTATCCATATCATAGAGAGCAGGAAGGGAATAAAATGAAGAAGAATGGAAAGTTAAGAAGAGATGTGTTTGTCAAAAGCTCTAGCTTAAAAGAGGATTTTATATTTGATCCTGGAGGTAATAAAAGAACCAGTGGACTTTAATGTGTGTGTTTGCGTGTGTGTGTGTGTGTGTGTGTGTGTGTGTGTGTGTGTGTGTAAGAGAGAGAGAGAGACAGAGAGACAGAGAGAAGAATCGGGGAGCACACCAGGTTTGTGTGGATGACCAAGAGGATAGTGGTTCCTGGAGAATAATAGTGAAGAGGGAGGGAGTAGAGGATTTTGAGGAAGTATAATGAGCTCTGCTTTGGACATGTGGAGTTTGAGATGCCTTTGGGATATCTATTTTGAGATGTCCAAAAAGCAGTTGATGATGTGAGATTGGAACTCGGGAGACAGATAACAGCTAGCTATGTAGATTGGGAATCTTCTGCATAGAGATGATAATTGAAGCCATGGGATCCAATGAGATCACCCAGTGAGATAGTATAGAGGGAGGAGAATAAGGCTCAAGACAGAGCCTTGGGGATACTCCTGACTGGTGAGCAGGACCTGAATGAAAATTCAGCAAAGCACACAGAGAATAGTAAAGAGTCAGATAGGCAGGATGAAAATGACATGGCAGCAGTGTCAAGAACATCAAGACAGAGCAGAGTATCCAGAAGAAGAGGGAAACTGATGGTGTCAAAGGCTGGGGAGGGGTCAAGAAGGGTAAGGGCTAAGCAAAGGCCATTAGATTTGATGATGAGAAGATGATTCATAACCTTGGAAGAAATTTTAGTTGAATTGTAGGTTTGAAGCTAGATTGCAGAGTTTAGTAGCCAGTGATTAGAGAGGAATTGGAAATGCCAGCTGCAGATGGCTTTCTCAAGGAATTCTGCTGTGAAAAGGAGACATCTAGAATGATAACTAGAGGGGGTGATTGTATCAAATGAAGATTTTTTGGGGGGGGTGAGACATCAGTGTTTATATGGGAAAGGCAAAGAACCAGTAGAAAAGGGGGGGGGAGAGAGAGAGAGAGAGAGAGAGAGAGAGAGAGAGAGAGAGAGAGGAGAGAAGGAGCAATAGGTTGGAGAAGATGACAAAATGGAATTGGATTGACCACTTGTACATGAAGAGGGGTTTGTCTTGGCAAGGCGAAGGGCCATCTCTTCATGGGAGATGGAAATGAAAGGGGAAATAATGGGAGATATCTGAGTGATGTGAGAAAAGAAGTATCTCTCAGCAAATAGCCTCAATTTGTTTGTTGAAGTATGAAGTTAGGTCTTCATTTGAGAGAGTAAAGTGAGAAAGGTCATAGGAAGCATGAAGAGGGAATGCAAATGTTTGGAGTAGGTGCTGTATGTTGAGTGGGATAGTTAACTGATAGGAGTAAAAGAATTGGCTTACTGTAGTGAAGACTGTTGAGGTTATGCAACATAAATATGTAATTGCTTCACTTAAGATGACTTCATGATTTTATCCGATTTCATTTAGCAGCATGTGAGAAGGAGTGAAAGAGAGTAATGATGACAGCAATCAGTATTTTGGGGTTTGGCAAGGCATGATCAGCAATAGGACGAAGAACAAAAAGGAACTGAGAACAGAAGATGGAATAGAATTGAACTGATTAACCAAGCAGCTGAGACAGAGAAGGAAGAAGGAGGAAGGTATATCCAGTGCAGGGGGGTGTCCTAAGAAAGAACTGAGGGGTGGAGAGATTGGAGGTCATGATGTAAATGAAGAATAATGTTTGGAGTTGTAAGGCAGAGAGAAAGATGGAATTAGAAAGTATTTTAATAATCTGATTATAATAAATTTCATATCTCATAAATTTGAAATTGGAACACATGTAGGTGATGGCAAATGCATCTTCAAGACCATCTCTGTATTTAACTGAGGCGGAGTGGAGGATAAAGTACTCTGGACTTGGGATCATGAAGGCTGTGTTCAAATCTTGCCTCTGGTACTTAGGAGCTATGTGACCCTGATCCTTCACCTATCTGAGAGTCCATTTCCTCATCCATAAAACAAGGATGTTGGACCGAATGACCTTTTAGATCCCTTTTAACTTTAGACCTGTGAAGCTGTAAATCCAAGGAAGCCATGTTCTGCAAACTGGTTAAATTGTTAAAATGAGAAGGATGTGGTGTGGCAGGAATCTGCCCCTCCCCATTTACCTGTTGGGAAGGGGGAAAGACTGAATGTATTTGATCAAACTTTGTCTTTTAGCACCACCTGCTGTTAATAACAAAAACAAAATGGTCCCTGCCTTCAAGGAGTTTACATTCTACTGGAATGTAAATGAATTGTAAAATAAAGGGCTTAATCTGTATGATCCTTTAGGCCCTTTGTAACAGTTATTCTGCCATTCTCTTACTTTTTCTTTCATATGAATGGATTTGTAATAGATTTATGCTGGCAATGACAGAAATCTATATTTGGACAGGGTCTCAGAAACCATCTAGTTCAGGGGTTCTTAAATTGGAGTACTGCTTGAGGAGGCGGGGGATGTCCATAGATAGTTCAAAGGTTTCCTGAACTTAAATGGAAATACGCACACACACACACACACACACACACACACACACACACACACACACATATAAAGCTGTCCCACTTTGAGGAGAGTGGAGTGACCTCTGGCCCCAACTTCCTGTTTACTCCTGTCAGGAATGAAAATCTCCCTTAGAGAAGAGTGGGGAACAAAAGGCTAGAGATGTGTATTCTGCCTCCCTTTGAGCCACATAATGACAATCTTCCTTCCTTCCTTCCTTCCTTCCTTCCTTCCTTCCTTCCTTCCTTCCTTCCTTCCTTCCTTCCTTCCTTCCTTCCTTCCTTC